ATGTTCTCCCCTACAGTGGGTTTCCTTTATATTTTGTTGGTTTCTTTTGCTGTTCAGAAGCTTTTTAGTTGGCTGTAGTCCCATTTGTTTTTCCCTTTGTTTCCCCTGCCCTAGGAGATATATCAGCAAAAATATTGCCACGTGAGATGTCTGAGATTTACTGCCTATGTTTTCTTCTAGAATTTTTATGATTTCACAACTTATATTTAGGTCTTTATCCATTTTGATTTTATTTTTTGTGTATAGTGTAAGTTGGTGGAATAATTTCATTTTTTTTGCATGTATCTAACCAATTTTCCCAGCACCATTTATTAAATAGACTATCTTTATTCCATTGTATGCTCTTCCCTCCTTTGTCAAATATTGACCATAATGGTGTCGGTTGATTTCTGGGCTCCCTGTTCTGTTTAATTAATCTATATGCCTGTTCTTATGCAGTATAATGCTGTTCCAGATGCAGTTTTTAATTTCAAGCATAGGCTTTGAAGCTCTATTGGGTGTGCCAAGGGGAACATATAGATATTCTCTTATATTTCCTTATTGTTTTGCCTTCCATCTTTAGGTCTCTGATCCACTTTTGATTGTGTATGGTATATGAGGTAGGCATCAATGTTCATTTTTCCCCCCATGCAGATATACCATCATTTCAGCATCATTTTTTATTAAAAAGACCATTGCTCCCCCCACCCCCACTATCCCTACCCCCTGCACATGCACACACACACACACACACACACACACACACACACTGAATTATAGTGGCACCTTTTTCAGAAATCAATGACAAATATGTGTGGATTTTGTTTCTGGACTCTCTATTCTGTTGCTTTGGACTTTTCCTTTATCCTGGGCCAATACGTTATTGTCTTAATTACTGAAATTTTGTATGAAGTCTTACAATTTGGTAGTGTTAAGTCCTCCAATTTTGTTGGTTTTCTTTAAGATTGTCTTGGCTGCCATAGGTTTTTTTTGTTTTGTTTTGTTTTTTGCCTAGGTTATAACTCTCCATAATGTTAGAAATAGCTTGTGAATTTCTACAAAAAAAAATGCTAGAAATTTGATTGGGATTACACTGGGTTATAGATCAGTTTGGAAAGGACTGACATCTTAAATATTTTGAATCTTCTAATGCATGATAATGGTGTATCTCTTTATTCTACTTATTTAAGTCTTCTTTCTCTCAACAATATTTTGAAGCCTTCAGCATAGAAGATCTGCTCATGTTTCATTTGATACATTCCTCGATTTTTAATTTTTTTCTCCTATTTTTCTGAAATGTTTTTCAAATCTCTCTCCTTGGCTTATATGTAGATGGTGGTCTTCTTCCTGCCTTTACATCAGTGGTTCTCAACCTGTTGGTCGCGACCCCTTTGGCGGTCAAACGACCCTTTCACAGGGATCGCCTCAGACCATCCTGCATTATCAGATATTTAATTACAATTCATAACAGTAGCAACATTACAGTTATGAAGTAGCAATGAAAATAATTGTATGGTTGGGTCACAACATGAGGAACTGTATTTAAAGGGCCAGAAGGTTGAGAACCACTGCTCTAAATTGTCAAATTTATTGGTAAAGGTTTTTCCCCATAAATTCTTATCTTTTTAACAGTGTCTATCAAAAACTATAGTGATGTTTTCTTTTTTTTTTATAAGTCTGACTAGGGGTTAATAATTTTAATTAACCCTTCAAGAAACCACCTTTTGGCTTTGTTGGTTTTCTCTTTCATAGATTAGCTTTCTAGTCAATTGATTTTTTTCATCATTATTTCCTTTATTCTACTTTTCTTAGGTTTATTTTTGCTGTTTTTTCTAGATTTTTGAGATAAAATTTTAGATTGAATTGTCAACCCTTCTTGTTAGATAAACTTAGTTATAAATTTTCCTTTAAGCACCACTGTAGTTGGATCCCCAAGTTTTGACATGTCATATTTTTTATTATCAATTTAAAATATTATTTCTTTCCCGGCCATTGCTAAGTGGTTAGAGCGTTGACCCATGGACCAAAAGGTCATAGGTTCATTTCCTGGTTCACATACCTTAGTTGCAGGTTCTTCCTTGGCCCAGGTGGGGCATGAGCAGAAGGCATCTAATCGATGCGTCTCACATGGATGTTTCTCTCTCTCCTCTCTCTCTGTCTTGCCCCACCCTTTCACTCTCTCTAAAAATCAATGGAAAAAATATTCTCACTTCTTGGGTGAGGATTAATATATATATATATACTAGGGCAGTGGTCGGCAAACTCATTAGTCAACAGAGCCAAATATCAACAGTACTTCTTCAAAATAGACTCAGTGATCAGGGCCGGTGCCGGGTGCCAGCAGCTGGTGTGAATGCCAGGTAGAACTGTCGCGCGTGGGAGCAAATAATTTTCAGTAACTACCAGAGGCTCACCCGGATGACAGCAACCGGCGCTCCTGCTCACCTGCTCCACCACCTCACAGTGGCCAATGCCTGCAATGTTCTGCGCTCTGCCACCTGCTGCTGATACCTGCCATGTTCCATGTGCGCCCCCTGGTGGTCATACTATGGACTCAGTGCACGAATTCATGCACCTTGAAAGGAAGTGTGGGCTGCGAGGCTGCGGTGGGCACAGGGGTGGGTCTCAGCCCACCCTCTGCACCCCCACCCAGCCCCTCCCTCTGTGGCCCACAGTCCCCTACCTGCTGGTAGCCTCGTTCCTGCTGCCGCCACTCTCATGTGCTAACAGTGCCAGCCCCTCAGGAGCAGGGGGAGGTGGAGAAGCCCTCAGGGGTGATCAGAGCTGGCAGCCACTGCTTGCCCCACTGATGGTGTTGAGCAATCAGGACCAATGCCAGGTGCTGGCAGCAGGTGTGAGCACCTGGTGGGACCGTGGTGTGTGGGAGCAAAGAATTCTCAGTAGCCATCAGAGGCTCATCCGGATGACAGTGTCCGGCGCCCCGCCTTGGTCTGGCACCCCCGCTCACTTGCTCCACCATTCACAGTGGCCAATGCCTGCAATGTTCTGCGCTCTGCTACCTGCTGCTGATACCTGCCATGTTCCATGTGCGCCCCCTGGTGGTCAGCGCATGTCATAACAACCGGTTGTTCGGTTGTTCCGCTGTTCGGTCTATTAGCATAATACACACACACACACACACACACACACACACAGAGTGGCCAGATTATGACGACCCCCCCATCAGTCCTTCGTTGGGCCACCTTTTGTCTTCAATACTGCGGCGATTCTTCTTGGCATTGACTCCACGAGATGTTGAAAGGTGATGTGAGGAATCTGACACCATGCCTGATGAATAGCACTGTCCAGTTCTGTGAGATTTGATGGCTGTGGAACCAGCTGCCTGATGGCTCTTTTAACTTTGTCCCACAAATGCTCAATTGCACTGAGATCTGGTGACTGTGGGGGCCACCTAAGCAAGGTAAAGTCTCCCTCATGTTCTTGAAACCACTCCTGTACATATGAGCACTGTGGCATGGCGCATTGTCTTGTTGGAAGAAGCCATCTCCATTGGGATACACCATCAACATGATGGGATGAAGTTGATTAGGTATGTTGTACTATTCAGACGTTGTTCCACACGAATTAAAGGGCCCAAATCATGCCAGAAAAACATGACCCAGGTAACTGCGGACAGCAAAGGTGTTCGAACAGGCCTTCGGCTTCTATATCCCATAGATGCAGTGTATGGCTAATTTGCCTACATACGTCAGGTGGTCATAGTAATCTGGCCACTCAGAGTGTGTGTATGTATATGTGTGTGTGTGTGTGTGTGTGTGTGCGTGTGTGTGTATATATATATAAATTTCTCTTTTTTTCTTCTTTCACCCATGAGTTTTTTAGAAGTGGCATGCTTACTTTCAAATTTTTTTGTACTCTAGTCAGAGCATTGTGTTGTATGAATTTCAATTTTTTAAATATTTGTTGTGAATATGGTCTATTTTTGTAAATGCTTCATGTGCACTTGAAAAAAATCTGTAGTCTATGGTTGTTCAATTTTTTATATCCTTAGTGATTTTAAAATATGATTGACCTATCAGTTATTGATAGAGGTATGGTAAGAACTTCAAGTCTGATTGTGAATTTAACTGTCGTTTTGCTTTTTTTTTTATTGTGGTAAAATATATATGATATAATTTATGCCATAGTGGTTTTTAGTTTGGTAAATTTTGATTTATATATTTTGAGATCATGTTTATTAGTACATACAAATTTAGGATTGTTATATCATCCTGATTTATTTATTTATTTATTTATTTATTATTGGAAAAATTGCTCTTCATTTTTTATTTCTCTTCACAATTCTTACCTTCACATCTACTTTGATAGTTAATCACACCACCTTCTTTTCTGTTAATGTTTGCATGGTATATTAACTTTCAATCTATCTTTGGCCTTAAAGTTGTTTCTTGTAGAAAGCTTTATAAGTAGATCTTGCCTTTAAATAAAATGCTGGTGTCAAATTCAGGCCCAGTCATAGTTGCCTTGGTTTGTGGTACTCATAAGAGGGAAGTGGTAATGGCCTTGGACAGGAACTCAAGGCCATTTAGACTTGATATAGCTAGTGGAAGAGGGATTTCCTTATTGGTGGAACGTTTTGATACAACAAATTACTACCCTCAAATTTATTTGTGAAATGTTTTATATTCATTATAAATAATGTAAGGTTAAAGAAGAGTAGGCTTGAACTGTGGAATGGCTAGCTACCATTTAGCATCCTCAGAGAGAAGGATGTGTAGTCAGTGCTATGCAAACCTCTAAATTTTTCTTAGAGAAATCCGTACTTGAACTATTTCATTTTGGAATCATAGATTAATCAGGGAATGTTTAAGTGTAGGCAACCTCAGAGACCATCTTGGGCTCACTGACATGCTTCTGATTACTTGAACATAAAAATATATCTAGTACTTTCATTTTTGTTACTCATGCTATGCAGGTAAATGGATAGCTGCATCTTGGAATGATCTTTAGAAATAACAACCTGTTTAAAAATGGACCAAAGTATAAATAAAGTGGGCAGTTTTTATATTTTAGTTCCCAAATAAAATTTATAAGGAAAAACTGTTTTTACTTTGCAGCGTTCAGTCTTAGAGAAAAGACCTCATCATTCTGTATGTGACGTGGACTTGTGGGCCCTTGACCTCTTCAAATAATTTGTCTGTAATAGGCTTCTCTTGAAAATGAATCTGCATTTTCTTGCTCTCCACACGCATGAGTTTCACTTCCAGGGGCCCCAAGTTTACATAATCCTGTGGTGAACAGATGCAGAAAAGAATAGGAGAAGTTATTCAGCAAGTTAGCAGCTTCAATAGATAAGGTTTCCTTTATCTGACTGGCTTCATTGCCCTCCCAATTGCCCAAGTGCTGTATAACATGTGAAATATGAGAGCTACTAAAAATAGAAACCACTCCATGAACGTATGTGGGGCATATAGGCCAGATCTCCCACCGAGCAGTCAGCAAGTCTTTCAGGGGGTTGGGTTGGGGGCACCAGATAGAGTGGGGAGATATATCCTCTGTAAGCTCTTTAATTGGTAAAAGAAAATATTGGCGATATATAGGCTAGAACCACTGCAGAGTTCTCTATATTACTCAAGAACCAATGGAAGATCTGCATACATCACTTTGCTTACTAATATTCTAACATTGAACAGATTCTTTATGAATTTTGCACTTTTCACAGGACCTTTGGCTAACTGTATAAATAAAACTTACCATATTCTGCCAAACTAACTATAATTTATGATATCAACAAATGAAATTAAAAGTCTAATTTATATGAAATCACACAGTCACCCCCAAACTGGCTTGAAACAGGTCAGGCCCTCCATTATGTGCCTTCCTCTTGGGAGCCTTCCCAAGTAATAATGTTTTCTTTTGAATTCCTTCAACACATCAACAAACTCCCCCGAATTCCTACCAGCTGTGTATCAAGTGCTGGGGACAAAGATGAGCTCACAGACCGGTCAGGGAGACAGACACAGGTGATACATGCCTCCTGCACAGTAATTAATGATTTTCTTATCCATCTGCTAATAGCATGTATGGGATTTGAAAGTAGTGCCTGCCAAAATGGCCTCTTTGAGACTTCATTTCTTCCTGTTTACCCCCTGATTCCCAAGCATCTAACAAGTACCTGGAATATTGTGGGGGTCTCAATAAACATTTATTAGAATCTAGAATATCAAAGAATGAAAAGGGAATTAATGTTTTATTACTCAAAATGCATGTGACTGTGTTTAGTTTTTAAAATATATAATTATAGAACTATAAGAAATGTAAGACAGGAGAAAAGCAAGGTGGTAGATATCTACCGCCTATTTCAGAATTCTAATTCACTGTGGTAATCTGCTCAGGGTGTCATAACAACATTCCACAGGCTAAGAGCCTTAAGCAACAGAAATTCATTCTTCACCAATCTGGAGGCTGGAATGTTCAAGATCAGGGTGCCAGCATGATGGGGTTCTGGTGAGAGCCCTCTTTCTGGCTTGCCGATGGCTCCCTTCTCGCTGCGTTCTCACAAGGCATAGCCTGTTCTTATAAGGCCACAGTCCTATCAAATTAGGGCCCCATCTTTATGAGCTCATTCAACCTTAACTATCTCCTAAAAACCCGATCTCCAAATACAGTCACACTGGGTTTCAACATATGAAGGGCTGGGGCAGGAAGACATAATTCAGTTCATAACATACAACACGTCATTTTACCACATCAAAAACTTCCATGGTAAGAAAGAAGGTCTTTCATTCAACCAAATGGTAGCCCCAGTTTTGGAATTTTGTAGACAACTGTCCATTTGAGGTCATCATACCAGACCAGGTGACATGATTCCAAGATACTCATGGCGGTGCTTGAATGCTATAGGGACTAGACCTTTAGTCTTTAAACAGGCGCTTGACGGTAGCAGGACTGCATTGTAGTTAGTTAAAACGAGTTTTGTTGACTTACTCAGTTTCTTCTTCTGTCTTATATCACTCTTTTTCCTGTAAGACTTTAAGTTCCTGAAGAACTTTTTAAGTTGTTGGTAGTACCAAGAAGGAAAATAGCAAGGGGTCAATGTGGGAGTAATTGGAACAGCCGTGGGCAAACTACGGCCTGCGGGCCGGATCCGGCCCGTTTGAAATGAATAAAACTATTGAAAAAAAAGCCCGTACCCTTTTATGTAATGATGTTTACTTGGAATTTATATGAGTTCACACAAACACTCCATCCATTCTTTTGTTCCGGCCCTCCGGTCCAGTTTAAGAACCCATTGTGGCCCTCGAGTCAAAAAGTTTGCCCACCCCTGAATTGGAATGTACCAAAAAGTCTTAAAAAAAAAAAAAAGGCGTGAATATTCCAGGTTTCATCCTGTGGTGTATATGACAGTTTGTCCTTCCGAAGATGGCCATACTAACGTATACCCCACCCCGCATGCTTTTCTGATAATGTGATGCCAACCTTCTTTTAAGATGTACAAGCTACATTTCCTCCACTTGGAACTTTATAACTGCATCAACGGATAGATGATGAGGGAGGGGATGCTGTATGATTTCCAAGGCTAAGTCATGCAAAATTGCAGCTTTCATCTTAGTCTCTGGGATTGCTTTGTCTTGGAAAAGCCAGACAATAAACGTGCCTTGTAGAGAGGCCCATGTGAAGAGGAACTGAGGCCCCCAGCTTAGGTAGCATTAACCTGCCAGCCGTGTGAGTGAGCCACCTGGGAAATGGGTCGTCCTGCCCCCATCAAACCTTTAGATGACTACTGCTCCAGCCAACATATGACTGCAACTGCCTTGAGAGTCCAGCTGAGGACTATCCAGTGGAGCCCTTGCTGATTTCCTAACTAACAGATGCCCTTAAAGAAAATAAACAGTTGTTATTATAAGCCACTAGATAACTTACATGGTATACTAGTAATGGAGGTCTATAAACAAATATAGATAACAAATTGGGCAAGAGTAGGGGTAAAAATAGTATCCAAAGAGATGTGAATGGTGGGCAAATTTTACTAATTGCAAATAGAAATTTTCAGTATCCATATTTTAGGTTAATTTTCTCCATTAATAAAAGAGCATGATCCTAGTAGTCAAAATTATTTACTTAATCTTACCTTGAAATCCTTCTCATCCTCATAGAGTAAGTATTTCATGTCAGAGGTCCCAAAGTCTATGGATGAGCTCGCACTATCTGTGCTCTGCTGCTGGTCAGAGCTGATATTATCCTCATGACTAATGGGTAAAGCTCCAAATGCAACTGATGAGCACATCTTACTGCTGCTTGTTTCTTCTATGGATTCCAGTTTTGACTTTTCTGGGGTGAAGGAAAAGAAATTAATTATGTGTATAATAGAGGCCCAGTGCACAAATTTGTGCATGGGTGGGGTTCCTTGGCTTGGCCGGCAATGGGGCCAATCGGGGTGTCTCACCCCGTCCTGATTGGGGCTGATTGGGGCTGACCGGCTGGGGGTGGTGGTGAGGGAAGGGGTAGAGATTGTGGGAGATAGGCCGACCAGGGGGGAGGGGCCACTGGAGGTTGACTGACCAGGGGGAGGGACTGTGGGAGGTTGGCCAGCCATGGGGTGGGGCTGTGGGAGGTTCCGATTGGGGCGATTGGAGCCAGCTGGCTAGGGGAAGGGGTCGTGGGAGGTTGGCCAGCTGCAGGAGGTGGGCTGTGGGAGTGCATTGACCATCAGGGGGCAACTTCTGCATTACCCATCTGTCCCCTGGTGGTCAGTGCATGTCATAGCAAATAGTCAACTAGTCGTTCCGGTCGTTCGGTCTTAACGGTCACTTAGGCTTTTCTATATATATAGATGTTGGACAGATAAAATTAAAATACAATGCATACATTGTCACATTTTTTAATTTGAAAGACCTTTGATAATCTCTTGGAGGAGATAAATCTGAGAATTATGTATTGAAGTGAGAGTGAGCCTCATTTTCAGAAACTCTATCTGATCTGTATTTCCTTCTATTGGCTAAGTTATAGTCATCAAGGGAAGCTTTGTATATGTTGGTATTTTGGTTGGTTGGCTCAAGTGGAAACCACATCAAGGTAGAAAACACTGTCCATTTCCAACAGAATTTATTTAATTCCCTGTGAAACATGGTGACTATGATTTGAAAGTCAGACTAGAAAAAGGAGGTGGGTTAGGACAAGTGCTCCAAGAAGAAGAGGAATATGGAGGAGCTGGCAGTATCCATTCCCTGAATAGCTCTTGGATATGAGGTGCCTGTCTATAATAGATGCTCAATAACTGTTCATTTAAAAACAAAAAACAAAAAACACCACCATTACAATAAAATAATCTATAATAATAAAAGTGTAATATGCAAATTGACCGAATGGCCGAACAGCAGAACAACCATCTGGACAACCAAGCTATGACACCCACTGGCACCAGGCCAGCCAAGGCAGGTGCGATGCAATTGGTCAGGGGCCCGGCCATCGCCCCATGATCGCCCCACAGAGGGAGGCCCAGGCTACCTGGCCAGGGGTGCTGCGGCGGGTGGGTGGGGCCTCCCTCTGCAGGACAATCAATCACCAGGCTCCCAGACTGTGAGAGGGTGCAGGCCAGGCTGAGGGACCCTGCCCGCCCCCCACCCCCCAGCACGAATTTCGTGCACCAGGCCTCTAGTACCTATATTTGTTCCTGACAACTCCAAAGGCTTTTGTACAGGTGCCATTTCGTGTCCAGCAGCTTGGGTAAGATATAGTTGCCTAAAAGAACAAATAAGAAAAGCAGTCTGTCAGTCAACAAATCCTGTGCTACCTGTTTACTAGTATTATCTCTCTTCTGGGTGCTAGAGAGACATAGATGAAAATGAGGCATAGATCCTACCCTTGAGGTGGATAAGGGTAGCAGGCAGGCGTGCAGTGTTTAGGCTGATGGTCTGTGTACCCTAACGGGTAATTAGCATAGTGTGGGGCAGAGAGAAGCCACCTCGTATAGCTCTGGGAGGTAAGGGATGGTTTCCAGGAGGATATAAAACCTGACCCGTGTCTTAAAGAACCAGGGGCTGTTTGCCAGGGAAGAGCCTGGGGTGAAGGAAGGGCATTTCATGATCAGGGACTAGCACACTTAAAGTCCCAGCAGTGAAAGTGAGCACGCCACCAGTTCGGTCGCATGTAGTGATCCAGAAATGACAGTGGCCTCAATGGGTTTTAAAACAAAGAGGAAAAGAGAAAGAGCAAGCAGTAGGAATCCAGTGACAGGCAGGTCTGGCCTTCACTGAGTGGCAGGTGTCAGCTGCCGGCCCAAGGAACTGTGCCTGCGGTTGCAGCTCTCTGCGCATGCATTGAACTCTGCTCCCCCGTCAGATTCCCACTGAACTCTCCGTCAGAAGATACACGCCCTGAAAGCTGTGCATGGCATTTCCATCAGGTTTGCCTGAAGACAGCAGAAAGCAATTGAGCCCTCGAAGATACGCAAACAACCCCTCACGCTTCGCAGCTCAGCAACCAGAGTGAACCCCCTGGTTTACCCGCTGCTGGTTATTTAAAGAACATGAGTGAAGTGTTATTAAAAATGCTTAAGGCTCCAGAAAATAACATAACTACATACACTATTTCTATCTGTGAAACCTGCTTAAGACCTAACTTAGGAAAGGTTAGCTGCATATGGAGCTCTGGTCTGTGGGTGGACATGTCTAAGGCCACAGAATTCTCTTCTCTTCTGGTTTCACTATTTTGAATAATGAACATCTTACTAAATGCCACAACCTTCATAAATCTGGTTCCTCTCGTAGTCATTAGTTTGTTGTCGCTTTTGCATGGCCACAGAAAGTATCTTACATGACGTTATTACGTGAAGCCGGTGGCAGATTTGTAGGCCTTAGTCCGCTTAGCCTCAACCCCGTGGCACTTGAGTTCCTGGGCAGTCACCTCTGGCTGACATGCACCTCATCTAATGTCGCAAACAAATACTATAACCTTCTATGTGAGCTGTGAAGGGAAACGTAGCAACTCTATTAGCTAGAATACCCCATTCTTCTTCCAGATGAGAAAACAGAACTTTTTATATGTCCACTGAGGACAGTTAAGGTCTATTTCTCGCACCCTCCTAGTGTCATACAGGACTGAATCCTCAACAAAAGAGGTGAAAATGGCAGTTACTATAAAATATACAATAGGTAATATATTTCTTTGACTTGAAATTAGGTACAAAAACAGCTCCTGAATATATTTAAAGTTTTCCTCTGGATAAGAAGTCTAACAGATAATTGTGGGTTTATACATTCCTTGGTGTCTTTATAGAGATTTTCCTAAAATGTCCTAAAAAGTTGCCTCGAGTGCCTTAGCTGGTTTGGCTCAGTGGATAGAGCGTTGGCCTGTGGACTGAAGGGTTCCAGGTTTGATTCCAGTCAAGGACACAGGCCCGGTTAGCAGGCTCAATCCCCAGTAGGGAGTGTGTAGGAGGAAGCTGATCGATGATTCTCTCTCATCATTGATGTTTCTATCTCCTTCTCCCTTCCTTTCTGAAATAAACTGAAAAATATGTTTTTAAAAGTTGCCTCAAGGAGTTTTCAATCTAGTGAGGAAGCAGACATTAAGTAGTAATCACCAGTGTGATAAATGCTGGCTACACAGGGAAGGTGCCAGGTGCTGCGGCAGCATGTGCTGGGGCACCTGACCCAGTTCTGGGAGATGTCTCCCCGCTGTCTCTTGTTCCTGGGTAGATTTTGATTTAATCTCTCCCAACTCTGAAGCACAACTCATCTCACCTATCAAAGAAAGCCAACCCACACAGCACTGATGAACAATGTGGACTTTACTGAAGATTTTTGTGGGGAGGACAGAGGATAGGTTAACACTGCAAACAACTTAGTGAAGATCCCCACTGAATTTTTCTCATCTCCTTTCCTGTCCTTGCCGAGTTTTCTCTGGCCAATGAAAGAATTCCCCTTTGTTATAATTATCAGCACCGAATCGGACTGAGCTGATGGGAGCAGGAAGTGGGGTTGGCAGTCTACAGCGTAGCTCTTTTCTAAGGTTTGGCTGGTTCAAAAAAGAGGACAGTGGACAGCAGGGAGAGCAGTGGTTAGTAGCCACAACACCAGCAAGTTTAGACATGATTAGAGCTGGGGCAGAAACATTCCAGACTGAGGGGATAGTGGGGCCCCCGCTTCCTAGGAGCCCTCAAGGAGTCCACCAATCAACCAATTCATTCAGCTCGACTGCCTACATCATCTACAATGGTCTTTACCTCTCCGGGGAAGCACACACACACTGTGGGAGGGGGAAAGGTGGTCTCTTTCTCTATCCTGCCCCATGCGCCTTCCCCACTTTGAAGTCATTGCACTATCTCCCAATGTCTCCAATCTTGCATCCTGACACCTGTCACTTAACCCACCAAGCACAAACCCACAACTTACCTGCATTCACCATTCTCGGAACACATTAAGAGGTTTGTAGACAACAAATACTTTATTAGGACTCAAATAGTATTTTTCCATGCTACACAAGCAACAGGAACTGCTTGAGTGGAAATGTTTCCCTGGCTCGTTCACTATGTTGAACGTCTTTGCTTTCATTCCCAGACTTAGACATGTCTTTCCCATCTTGCACATACAGACCCTACATTTGTGTGATTTATTTCTCCTCTCTCCCTAAATGTGCTATCATTTAGATTATTTCTTGTTTCTGACTACTTGTCCGAATTACAAATGCCTCTTTTAATTCCATCATATTCCAGGGCCCTGGTTCTCCATCAAGATTGGTCTATAAAGACTCCTTTGTCAGGTAAGAAAAAGATAAGCTAAGATGCAGAGCCATGGGCACAGGTGGTTTCTCTTATGTAGGAATTGACGTGACTTTGGATGCCAGGCTATTTTTTCAGTCTCGAAAGCGGTTGAGTCTTTCCTTAACTATCAAAGGAAACAATTCCATATTCCCCAAGGTAGCCAGAAGCCCAGGACACTTACAGGAAGATGCCACAAAACGGATCACTCTCTCCTTTGTGCTAACTCCATACCTCCTGCACCCTCTGCTGCACTGCTTGGCATTGATTTTCCTGCCCATGCTCCCTGCCGACCTGGAGGATGCTGAAGGGTCAGCAGTTCCGACACTCATGGGAAGTGCTGGCTGCTATGACTGCAGGGTATTGCTAGGAAAATCAAGTCAAAGTGTGCACTGTACAAATGGTCAACTCTCATGATGCGATGCCTTCGCCATAGCCATTTTGTGAATTCCTTCTTTGCAACTGTTGCAGTCTGGCTGGAGCACTAAAGAATTAAATCATCATCAGAAAGAACTTGATACAGATACAGATGTTTAAAAAATACTGTCTAGATACATTTCACCTGGGTATTTTGAGATCCACAAGTCTACAGTTGAATAGTTGATCAATGAGCTCCAAATTTTCTTCTTCCAGTTCTTGAATAGCTTTTTCCAATACATCAACTTCCTTCCTATGGATTGCAATCTGTTCTCAGAAGAAGAGAGAATGGATGGTTGGTACTTATTTAGTTCTATTTAGTCTTCGATGAGAAATTCAACTCCTAAAAGTGCTTTTGCCCAAGAGGAAGAGCTATATAAGGTTAATTACAAACAACATAGAAAACTAAACAGTCCTGGAAAAAATAGTAAATTATAACACTTTTAAAAAGAGAAGTACAGGCCTAGAGCCCTTTCTATCAGCTTCTATAGTACTTTCTTTTCCTGTAGTGATGGGGTTGTTCTGAGAAATATCAAGTAGATGAAATATTGTGCATTCATTCATTCATTCATTCAAATGGATTGTATGCCTACTATGTACCAGAAACTATAGTACACTTTGGGAAAAAGGATCTCAGCCTAGTGGGAAAGATGGTGATAAAAACAGAAAAGAGTGTGTTAAAACCATAGGAAGCTGTCCAGGTGCTGAGGGAGGAGACGGAGGCGCAGCCCATGCCTGCCAGGTGTCGGGGTCGGGGTGGGGACGGTAAGATGGAATTAATAGAAGAGATGACATCTAGTCTGGACCTTGAAGGCCATGTAGGGATTCTCTAGGCAGAGAAGAGGGCGTACATTCTTGGAAGAAGGAACCACGTGTGTAAAGGCACAGTTATTTTGGTGTGATAGATACAGAGTGGGAGTTGGGAGAAGTAGGAGAGGAACTGGACAATGAAGGAAGAGGCACATAATACTAAGAGTCTGGCTTTTGTGTTGCAGGGGATGGGAGCTCTTTGATAAACGTAGCAGGTTAAAATAACAGTAAGGAGTATGGCTAACTCAAATATGAACAAAATTCGCTGGTTACCTTGATCCATTCTTATGTGTATTTTGATAACTTCTGTCTAAAGAAGGCTTAATAGTGGGAAGAATATATAGACAAATTTCTCTAGATAGAATCCTCAACTTACCTCTCTCTCCCCCAAAACTGAAAAAAAGTAATCTGTCTTGAGGAAATAGGAGACAAGAAAAGCAAAGGGGTTTAGATTCAGTATCTCTTGTTAGAAGTGTAACTGAGATGATGACTGAGAAAGAAATGACTAACATTTTATGTTTGTAATTGGGATTTAATTATTGCCTTTTAGAATCTGGAGGTATTCAGTGTATTGCCACATGTATACCTCTATCACATAAGTAATTTATTAAATGCTTGAATTCTTACTGTGGCAAGGTTCTTACTGTGGCTGGATGCAGAAGGATACAAAAGTGAATTAGGCATGGCTCCTTCTCTCAAGAGTCTACAATCCAGGAGACAAATATGCAAATAAGGATAATATAAAACAATACCAGAGTCTTAGTAGGGTCTCAACTATTGCTGGGGCTTGGAGTTAGAAAGTAGAGAATGTATTATCCACCTGCCTTCAACAATTTAGCAAAACCATTAAGTCCATAATACTAAATCACAAAGCTCGGGGTTAATGCTTAGAGAGAACCAGCTTGATTACAAACGTGAATGCCTTAAGGAAAAATAATTTTTAAAAGTCAAAGGATGAGAAAAAAATTCTAGAGTTATAAACAGAAGGAATTAATAGAACATTTGGAAATGTTTGACCTAAGGGCTTGGCATGCTTGGGAGGCAGCACACTCAGTTCTTGGTCTCTTTCCAAAGCTGGGAATGAGGGCCCTTTTGGGGAGTGGAGTCCAGCCTTTCAAACTAAGGATATCCTGTGACATCACCGACCCTTTAGAGCACTTTGTAAGTTGTTATCTCCTTCCCGGCCTTTTGAAATGTTAGGGAAATGAAAACGAGTTCCTTTTACGGTCAAGTAAATACCTTCAGATTTCTGGACTAAGAAAGTGAAAGGGAGGGAGAAGAAGACCATCTTTCCTCCCCGACCCTGCTCTTCTCCAAACACCCAACAAATGTACTGAGGAAGCTGGGAAGGATAATTTAGCTACGACTCAATAGTTAATAACTTAGTCAGGGACCTAGGATCCTAAATAAAATACATGCTCTTGAAATGTTTTCCTGCAAAATCCGAGTTCGCTTTACACGTCCTAGCTCTTGGCACTCTGATTGCTAACGGGATTGGATTCTGTTGTCTGGTTTTCCTGGATTTCCATTTAACTTAGTCTAAGTTACTTAGAAATTTCATTTTTCTTCATTTTCCTAATAAGCAGGCTAACTAAAACCAGGTAATGAAAGTCATGCAACAGGATGTCTCATATCCTTCCCAGAGATCTAAGTTTCTGGTTATTGCTGAGAGAGAGTGAAATGGAGAAATATTTTTAGGAGGTCCATTTGTTAAAGATCCCTGTTACTCATTCAAAACCTTCCTCAAAGAAATTAATTCCTCTAATAAAGTAATTAGAACACATACATTGTTCTGTATCCAGGCAGTTTTCAATTCTTGTAATAGTACTTATAACCAGAAATGGTTTTAATTAATTTTGTGAGTAAATTTAATAATGCTAAAATGAATATTTATTGAAATAAAGATAAATTAAATCTATTAAATTTCCTTAAAATGATTTGCCCTTTATTACTAAGCTCTTTTTGCTCATGATTCAATTAAACTTGGCATTTTTCCTGTCTTTTATTTCCACTGAATTATGAGAAGTAAAAAAATATAACAAAATGAAATGTCGTTTATGGCTTTGGTAGAAAGGATCAAGGCACCAAAACAGCCCAAATATAAATTTTTATAATCATTTTCTCTAAACCTAATATCTATGACATCTCATAAAATATATAAGATTTGCACTATTAAATTATTATCATTGGGATCATCCTGTTACTTAATAAATAAATCCCTCCCTAATATTTTTTAACTATTGAGCTCACCTTAAGTTTTTTACATTAATACTTTTAAAAAGATGAAAAGTGTTTAATCATTTCAGAGCATCAAAATACAATATAAGATTGGTATTTTGGTGTCAGAAAGCATTAACTCAACAGGTTCATCTGGGATCCTTGCAAAATGCATTTCAAAAACATCCTGGAGCATTCTTGCCATTGTCACGGCAGCAAATGCATGTAGGTCTTTATATTCTTCCTTGTCCACTTTTCTCTTGGTAGTTCCAAGATCCTTTGGGTTTTTTACATCATAATAGTTACTGAGTTCCAACGCATTAACCTCAATAGGATTATAAAAGGGCCATGCATGTGAAAAGTGTATCTTGGCAAGCATTTCTTTAAGAATCTCACTACAGAGCTTTAATCACCCTGTTCCTTGAACAGTCTTCACAACTTCATATTGTTGCTGAGAATCTGGCAAAACATTCTTCAGCACAGTTTCTCTTATAGGTGGTTTTGCAGATTTTTACCCTCATAAGTGCTGGGGAACATTCACCTCTTTAACCCCTTCCCCAAAATTTTTTTGTTAAAAACGTTTCTTTTTCAGACTAATTTTTTTATTTTGGTTCTATATAGTATTTTTGATGCTGGTTATGAAAACAGTTTGTAACTCGTCTTCCTATAAACCATATTTTTTTACCATATTTTCTTAGTATACTCATCGACGACTGAAAAAGAACATTTTGTGAAAACGAGTATACACGTTTCTGCCTGGGAAGGGGTTAACTACTGAAGTTGTGGCGTTTTATCTTATTCCTCTTCCCAATCCTTGTAACCTGAGCCACTGTTTGTGAGGTAGAGTTGGTGGGTCACCTTGTGCTCTATTGGAAGGAGAAGTAGATGTTTCAGGAACTACAAAGTGACTCACTTGCTGCTTAACTACTTTTTCTGATGCTTTAGGGGACTTTTTCTTTAACAGGAGAATCTGCTAACATTGTTGAGTGGTTTTCTTTATTGTTTCCTTACCACCCACCTCTTGTTCTTCATGTGGTATCTGAAATAATTTCTGCCCAAACCCCTTCTTTGGTGCTTGTGCTATAATAGCAATGTCATCTCCAAACTTGTGGTATAAACAACAATTTAAAAACATTGCGTTGAAGTCTTCTGTACATTCTGAAGCTTGCACATAGCAATGCTCCAAGTGTTTCTTAAGTGTGCTTAAACCCATTGGGTTCTTTATGATGGTATAATAATCAGGCAAATTTAGTTCCATGGCATCCACAGGCTGCTAAAGAGGCGAAGAAAAACTATGCTTCCGTAAAGCCTCTGAAATAACCTTCTGTAGATGCTGCAGTTGACTTGTCAATTCCCGTTTCTTGTGGTATTTATAGACTCTGGTGGTGCAGGGTCAACAATAGCTGTTTCTACTTGGCAGAGACAGTCCTAACTGCTTCAGATCCTGTTATTCTAATGTGTCTACAAGTGCACGCATGTCCTCTTCCTATACAAGTACTAACCGTTGTTTCGTTACGTACGCCGCAGTTGTGGATAATTGCAGTTGCTGCCATCTTTCACAGTCTTTCTTCCCGCCTTTCTAAGTCACACATGGCGGTCCCAGCAGGAAAAACCTGTGAGTTCCTCTTGGGAAAGAGGGCTGGTCTGATCATCCCCTGCAGCTGCACAGGATGACGTGGTGCAGGGCCGAGGGTCTTCCATCCCCGCCTGCTCTTGCCCTAATGGTGGCTCAACTTAATACCTAGTTTTAAAAACTGGGGATTCATCTTGATCAGTTTTTGGAAATAGTATGGACCATGATTTTATCAAGGCAACTTAAAAAGAACTGCCAACATCACAAAAAGCATGTTAATTTTTTTTAATCCCTTGCTTTCTAGACTCGCTAACTCTATTTGGTCACATGGGAAGCTAGGAAAAGGGAAGAGGAGAGAAGGTGACAGTGACATTTTCACCTCAGGTGTCTGAGCAGATGGTGCAAAAGGAAATGCAAGAAGAGAAAATTTAAGGGGACATTTAATGAGTTCTGCTTTGGCTACGTGGAGTTTGAAGTGCCTTTGGGACATCCAAGTGGGGCTGTTTGGCAGGCAAATTACAATATAGGTCCAGAGCTAAGGACACACACAAGTTAGTGCTGAAGATGTACCTTTGAGAATCACATACAAATAACTTGCTAACAAGAGCCGTGTGTAGTTGAAGGGAGTTCTCTCAAACAATAGTGAGTTCTCGTTCACAGATGGCAG